CTTTTCCCCCTTCTTAACTGTGTTACCCCTGAGGCACTGCCCCCATTGCTGATGGGCTGGGCCTTGGCCAGCGTTGGGTCCGTCTTGGAGCCGGCTGGAAATGGCTCCATCAGATATGGCGGGAACGTTCTGGACAATGGCTCCATCAGATATGGCGGAAGCTTCTGGCAGCTTCTCACAGAAGCCACCCCTGTAGCCTCCCTGCTACCAAAACGTTGCCATGCAAACCATATACATTGTCCAACCTTTTAAATACAATTATATGCTCTAATTCTATGTAAATTAGTGTCCACTAGCTGACTTAATGCAGACTTTCCAAGAATCAAGCCTCTCTGATGTTTTCAGGCTGCGTCTCATATATGGCTACAATTAAGTTTGTCAGACAATTCATAAGGTAGAGAAATAGACTGCATTCTCCGTTTGGATCTTCTAAAGTTCCTATTTTGTGTACAGCTAAAAAACTGGTCTTCCGTACATTTCACTTTATCACTGTTTCCTTACCAATTAATAGTATGAGAGAGAGTATGACAGAAATAGTTAGAAGCAATCATGAAATGGTCATAGGCATAGAAGGTATATAAGGCACAATACTGGGCTTGCTGCCATTGCCATCAGGCTTCTCTCCACCAAGATTCCCATCTACTCTTCCCTCCTTTACCCAACTATTCCCATCTTCCACCTAGCACTCCTTTATGCAAACCTGCTTACTTCTGGCTGACAACAGGCCTTGCACTCCCTTCTTTCTCATGCAGATATCCCTAAAAAGTATTTTCTCTGAGCTACACCTTTTCACCGTACATTAACTTTACATCAGTGTTTCCCTTCTGCAGCTATTTGCAAATGCAGCTTTTCAAAGTAACGCAGCAGTATTCTGCACCACCAGCAGTTACCCTGCAACTTTCTGCCCTTTAGCTGATAATGTTATGTACATCTAGCTCCACTTCTACTTGAAATGTCTTCAGTGCTTCCTACAGCTCCTGTATCCTAGTCACACGATTCCAAAAGTCCTCTTTCTTGAATATTTTCTTAAAGGCTACAGCACAATGACATCTACTCTCTCCGTTATACAGCATCTATCCACCTGCTCCAGTTGCCATGATTTGTTTGCTCCATATTCTAGTCCCACCACTTTTGACGGCAGCCTTTTTAACACTCCCCAAAACAGAGGTTTTTGCTTCTGTACCAATAACTTGTATACAGGCAAATGACTCGGTGAACTAATGTGCAATTGAAATGCATAAACATCTCATGAGCTAAACTTGGCTGTTCTAACAGCTGAAATTAACCTCCATCACATATATGTTAATTCCTTTAAAGTGTATTACAGATGAACTTATAACTCTGCAAGGTCGTCCATAAACAGAAATAGGTTATCCTTCTCCAGGAAGAGTCAAAGTTACTATAGGCCTCTCAATATATTTCTGAACCTTGAAGTGCTTAAATAAATAAGCAAAAGCATAATTTATATATGTTACCAGGAAAAAAAATAGCAATGAGAATCTCATTCCGATCTGTTTCAAACATAGTTAATAAAAAAGGCTGTAAAGATCTTGTATTATCTCAATCTTGTCAGAACTCATATATCACAAGCAAAAGAAGAGGCCCAAATGGCTGTCTTCATAGATCGGTGCTACGTTGATGTCTTGGTAAATCAAATAAAGAGATTTCATAGCAGTCTTGTATTTATATACAAGGAATCAAGTGAACTAGGCTAAGTTCTTGTAAATGCTATGGATTTAGGAAAGTTATAAAACCCTAGACAAAAAGACAAGAATAAAGTATAGTACTACATATCAGACATATTTCTGTTTTCTCTCTGTTACTCAAAAAATTGTACTAT